TTGACGCGGCAAATTTAAATTCAGCCTTTCCTTACCCGCGGGTAACACATATGGCCCCGTGAAAGTTTTTTACGGATAAATTAATATCTTAGGAATTAATATCTTAGGAGGCTGAAATTTTAAGGTAATGACCCCCCTGCCTACGCTCAACCTTGCCTATTCAAATTCAGCCTTCCCGCGCCCTCGGGTATCACCTACAGGCGAGTGAAAGTTTTTTACGGGTAAATTATTACCTCGAGAACCATGGGGTCTAGGGAGCTGAAATTTTAGGGTAATAACCCCCTGCCCAAGCTCAACTTCCCCTATTCAAATTCGGCTTTCCCTCGCTGTTGAGTGTCACCTACGGCCTCGTGAGAATTTTGGCGGTTAAACTATTAACTGGGGAATCACGGAAAGACATTTAGCCTTTAAGGTTTCGAATTCAGCTTTCATGCGCTGGTGCGTGAAATTTTTAACTATTTTCCAATTTTTGAACTATTTTGCTATTTAGCTTTCATACGCTGGTGCGTGAAATTTTTAACTGTTTTCCAATGTTTGAACTATTTTTGCATAGACAAAGTACAAACTGTGAAAATCACTAATAGTCAATCGTTCGATGGGCTGAATTGCACAAAACGCATGATCGCACCGGCTAGTCTGGTGCGCGTTGCTTTCCTTACTTCGTCCGCTTGCTATTCTTCTCTCTACTGTTTTTTTAAAAATCACTCTTTAGCATTCGAAGTTCGGTGCTCCTCGATATTTCTATTTATAGGCGATGCGCGTTCCTCATAAAACAAAGTGTGAAACAGCTCACTAGCAAGTAAGTCAGATAACCAGAATCAACTGAATATGATGACATTTCGGATCAGAAGAAGATGGGAAGCTAACACTCACATCGGAACATAAGCACTGGTCACAGAAGCTCAAAGAAACTTAAATTAAGTCCCTGCTGCGTTACCATACTGCCTCGGAGATGGACAAAATGAAACACAGTGCCTTCTTAGCATGCTTATAGCTACAGTAGTTTGCTTGTGTGCTTCACTGTACCACAGTTACTGCCTAACTCGCTAATCGATGCTTCCATCACGGCGAGATGTCCGAACTACTAAGTTAAGCTCCTGCTATGAGAGTGAGTAAGCACAGTTTTGAATGCTTAAAACTTACCCTCCCTACCCCACCCACTGTCCCAACTTCCTTTATATTTCCTTTATGTCCCTTTTATCCTACAACTTTCTTTTTGTTTTTACAGTAATCTCGTACTGTTTTTTCCGGCAGATGATTCGAGCTAAAAGAATTGAGACTGACTGTCACGGCTGTGAGAAAACATTCCCTTAAAATTTTAGCTTTGTACCTTTTCTGGCTCCCGAGTTAACAAATTTCCCGCAAAAAACTTTCACGGACCCGTACGTGGGAACTACGTGAGCAAGGATGTCTATTTTGGAGGTGGAGGACAGTATACTTATGTAGATCAAGTCCTCAAATTTCAGCCCTGTAGCTTTTATAGGTCTCGAGATGAAAAATTGGTACAGACGCAAACGCAGACACACAGACACCCACACAAACAAACTCTCGAAAAAATGCGTTTTTGCATTGCATAGATGCAAAAAAATGCATAGAAATAAACTGCAGAAAGCACCAGGGTAGCCCGTGTAATCACGCGTTTTGTGCAGTTCTGCCCGGCATATGGCTGTTGTTAAGAATACTCACCGCTTTACAATTTCATAGAAAATACGAAATCCCAAACACCCCATGAATGAAACGTAGGCGTTTATGAGTGTTAGGTTTGATTCGTTGATTCGTAAATGAACAGAAAACACCCATCAAAAATTTTAGCTTTCTGTTTTGCCCACTTTTCGAACATAAAATTTTAACTGTTCGTACTTGAGATACAAACGTGACTGAAAGCTGAATTTGAAATTCCAGGGTTGTACATTCAGAGGAAACACCACGGTAAATTTTTAATTTTCTATCCTAAAAATTCGCTCCAGAACTCCCACGTGTCCGTACATGAGGTTTTGGTGTGAGGGCTGAATTTAAATTTTTGAGATCGGACACAGACTTCGAATATTACGTCAAAATTTCGGCTTCCTGGCTTTAAGCCATTATTTTTGACGCCAAAATTTTTGCAGCCGTACGTGAAATCTAAGCATACGCAGGGGCTGAATTTAAGTTTACGAAATCACATGCGGGTAGAGGACACCTCTTCCAAATTTCAGCTCGCTAGCCTTTCTGGTCCCCAAATTAACAGTTCTGGCAACAAAACTTTTGCGTGATCGTACGTGCATTCGCAAGATCACAACTGGACGGAGAACATTACTCTAAGATTTTAGCTTCCTAACTTTTGTGATTTTTGGGCTGTTAATTTTGGCGCCAAAAATTCCGTTTGATCGTACGCAAGGTTTAAGCACATGTGGGAGGCAGAATCTAAGTTTACGGGATCAAATGCAAGTAAGGTACATCATCCCCAAATTTCAGCTTCCTAGCTTTTCTGGTCCTAGAGTTATTGATTCTGGGGCCAGAACTTTCACGCAGTCGTACGTAGTTTTGGCGCCAGAATTAATAACTGGGGAACCAAAGAAGCTAGGAAGCTGAAATTTGGGGACGCAGCAGTCAAACATAAAATCTAGGCGTATGCAAGGGCTGAATTTGAGTTTACGAGATCACACCCGGCTAAGGGGCATCTCCTTTATGTCTCAGCTTCCTAGTTTCTTTGGTTCCCGAGTTGTTATGCGTCTTTTGCAGCAATGCAATGCGAAAAACGCATACTGACGAGAGGTTGTCTGTGTGTGTG